AAGATCTAGACGACGTTCTAGAACACCGTCTCAAAGCCGTAACATTTGTTGGTATCATAGGAGGTATGGGCATAATGCCCTGAAGTGTATTCGACCGTGTATGTACAACAGTAGTAACTCATCTCAGGGAAACTCCCCAGCCAGACAGTAATGGCGACGGCTGTTAATGGCAATCACCCCAGTCGCCTTTTCTATGTGAGGGATTTGACTACCGGCACATTATTCCTGGTAGATACAGGCGCCGAGGTCAGTGTTATTCCCCCCTCACTATCCAGGCGATCAGCCAAAATACCTGGAAAACTTTCACTTCGTGCTGCCAACCAAACCAACATACAGACGTATGGCGAACAGTCAATGATTTTAAATTTAGGACTACGCCGACGTTTCACATGGATCTTCATAGTAGCTGACGTACGTCACGCTATACTAGGTGCAGACTTCCTAAGTCACTTCAATCTGTTAGTTGATATCAGCAAGAAAAAACTGGTTGACAATTGCACCCAACTCAAGATCCATGGTATTACATGTGACTACTCGGTTCATAGCATCTGTATAGAAAAGCCGGAGAGTGAAATGTTCTCTGCTTTATTGAAACGATTTCCTAAAATCCTTAAACCATCATACAACGTTGAAGATATATCTCATACAGTTACGCATAAGATCATCACAACAGGACAACCTGTGAAGGCACGTCCACGACGGTTACCACCCGATAAACTAGCAGCAGCTAAGTCGGAATTTGAACATATGATGCAGTTAGGTATCATACGACCATCTAACAGCCCATGGTCTTCACCTCTGCACATGGTACCTAAAACTAATCATGACTGGCGACCATGTGGAGATTATCGCGCTTTGAATAACGCTACGGTCCCAGATCGTTATCCTATACCTCATCTCCACGACTTCTCCTTGACCTTACATGGAAAGACCGTTTTTACCAAAGTTGACTTGGTCAGGGCATATCATCAAATACCAGTCGCTCCAGAAGACATTGCAAAAACAGCAATTATTACGCCTTTTGGATTATTCGAATTCTTGAGAATGCCTTTCGGACTAAAGAATGCTGCTCAAACATTTCAGCGTTTTATGGACCAAGTTACCCAAGGTCTTGATTTCGTCTTTGTATATATCGACGATGTCTTAATTGCCAGCTCATCGATGGAAGAACATATGCAACACTTAAGCCTGTTATTTCAAAGGTTTGAACAATTTGGAGTTGTTATCAATCCAAAGAAATGTATTTTTGGTTCCCCTTCCATTGAATTCTTAGGACATCGAATAACTGCCGAAGGCATCAGACCTACCGAAGATAAGATAGAAACTATTAAGAACTTTCCCGAACCTGATTCCTTAAAGAAACTTAGACGTTTTCTCGGGATGTTCAACTTCTACCGACGTTTTATTCCATCATGTGCCTCCATAGTTCAACCACTGACCGACCTACTTAGATGCAATTCGAAGAAATTTCAGTGGTCTGAAGAAGCAAAAGCAGCATTTAATAATGCAAAAGATGCCTTATCCAACGTCGTAATGTTATCTCACATCAACCCAGAAGCTTCACTCATTTTATGTACAGATGCATCGCAGGTAGCAGTGGGAGCAGTTTTACAACAAAAGTTCAATAATGACACCACTCCACTTGCTTTCTTCTCCAAGAAGTTGGAACCTGCGCAAACTCGTTACAGTACCTTTGGCAGAGAACTGTTAGCCATCTACCTAGCAGTGAAACATTTCAGCTTCTTACTACAAGGTCGACATTTTACTATCTTAACCGACCATAAGCCTCTTTGTTATGCTTTCACCACTTCGTTGGACAGACACTCTCCGAGAGAAGCCAGACAACTGGATTACATCTCACAATTCTCAACAGACATCCAGTTCATCAAAGGAGATTCTAATATCGTAGCCGATTCTTTGTCTCGATGTGACGTTAATCACCTATCTTCGATAGATATTAGCTTAGACAATATTGCCAAGCTGCAGAAAAATGACGCCGAACTCCATACTTGTAGACGAAACTCCTCCCTACAGTTGCAGGATGTACCTATTCCCCTGTCTGATACAACTATCGTCTGCGACGTTTCAACGGGCGTTCATAGACCTTTTGTTCCACTAAGTTGTCGAAAACCTTTGTTTGAACATCTACATTCATTGTCTCATCCTGGAGTGCGTGCTACAGTCAAGTTGATCAGCGAGCGTTTTGTTTGGCCCAAGATGAACTCCGATATTCGGAAATGGGCCCGCCAATGCTTGCAATGTCAAAGATCCAAGGTACATCATCACACCGTCACACCTCCAAAACAGTTCAATTTACCCGATAAACGATTTCAACACGTTCATATAGATGTTGTTGGACCATTACCGCCATCCAGAGGATTTACTCATATACTTACTGCGATTGATCGATTTACCCGATGGGCTATTGCTTGTCCACTCAACGATATATCTGCAGAAAATATCGCTTTGGTTTTCTTAGATCGCTGGGTGTCAAACTACGGAGTACCCACAACTATTACAACAGACCGAGGAGCTCAATTTCAATCAACTCTGTTTCGAGAGTTTACGAGACTCCTTGGAGTGAACCATATCTCCACTACAGCTTATCATCCTGCAGCGAATGGTCTGGTGGAACGTTTCCATCGACAACTGAAAAGCTCGCTTATGGCACAAGCTGACTCATCTAAGTGGAGTGAACACCTACCATTAGTTCTTCTCAGTATCCGATCAACTGTAAAAGAAGATTTGGGATGTACACCAGCTCAACTTGTGTATGGTACTACCCTCACATTGCCTGGTCAGTTAGTTCCGTCTAATGATTCAACTGAAGTAAATATCTCCGACTTCACCAACCGCCTTACCCAGCATATGCTTCAGCTTAGACCAGTAGCCCCTCGCCAATCACTTCAGAAAGCTCAAGTAAATAAGAACCTACTCACTAGCAAATTTGTATTTGTTCGCGTCGATGCCATTAGAAAAGGTCTACAACATCCATATGAAGGTCCTTTTCTAGTACTTAAACGCACCGAAAAATACTTCACGCTGAACAAACATGGTAAACCGGAGACTGTTTCTATCGACCGTCTTAAACCAGCGTACACCGACAGCGAACATGAAACACTAGCAACGCCGACACCAATAAACAATCAGCAAGTCAATGCAACTCCAACTCTCCCGCTCTTCACTCTTCCCCCTGTACAGACACGCAGTGGGCGGCAGATCTGTAAACCTGCCCGCTATGTTCATTTCATTGACTGACATAAACGTTAACCTCATTTAGACATACTTCTCATTACTATTGTTGTTAACATTCACTTCATTATAACCATTAATATTTATTAGTATTATTATTTGCTGTTCGTCAACTGTACTGCAAGCACACGCATTCACCAAGTATATGTATATATCTATTTATATATGAATTTCACAAATGTTAACGAACATGTCATGGTTTATTATGTACATAAATTTTTTATTTAAAATTATAACAAGTTTTGATTTTTTTTAAATTCCTGTATGTGCTTGTATGTGCTAAACTTTATACGACACGGATGCATTCCATACATCCTGATCTAACTTTGTATCCTTATTGTTGTTATTGTTATTTTTTGTTATCCTTATTGTTGACATTATCCCTTATTTATATTGCTTATATTCATGTAATCGTCCACGAGGACAGTACTGATGGTCCTCCGGACCTCTAAGAGGGGGAGCCCTGTGGAGTCCTCAAAAATAAACTTATCCAAATTTTACTACTATGTAAATAATGAACATATTGTACACCACTTTGTTTTAACCATAAACTCTGTACTTTGACTTTACCTCGGGTTTTGAATAAATATACAGCTGTGCCTTCGACTCTCCGTCTTCTCCACCATCTCAACTGCCGTCGATCAATCCTAATCACCTGCTTTCTATCTCTGATTTTTGCAGGAGCACCGTAGTTTCTTCCTACGTACTTTGGTCGACCTCCGGCAACGTTAACATTGGAGAATTACTACTGGAGCAGTCTTTCCGCAGCACCTGGAGTCTATAACGTTTATTGTGGACTTTGGATCTTTGTAAACTCAAGTAATCAAACTTTAATACATTCTTCCCGTAACTAAACTCATTTGGTATTTTATTTTCTACTTGAATTTGGGTAACTAAGCTAATAGAGTGAAAAGGTCCACCACATATGTTTCTTCCGTTAGCACAAAAACTCATTAGAAAGAAAAAAAATCTGTGGCTCATTGGTCTAGATGCTTAACTTCTATCCAACTAGTGGGTCACGAGTTCGATTCCCGCTCTACATAGTGACGATTGGACAGCTCCCGGTAGTATAGCCAGCCCCTCCATGTATAGTAGGCTAAAAGCAACACTAATTGTCTAAAGGCTGATGATACTAGCCAATTGTCTAAAGTAAAGCAAGTGGAGTGTGGGATTCGAAACTAGGACAAGCTGGCTGAGTCAACCAGCATACATGAACAAACTATTTCTATAACCTTGAATGAGGGAGGTAGTGCCTCCAAGCCGACTCAAACCTGCACACATTGAGGTGAACTATGGTAAATTAGTCTGTCTGTCTGTTTTCGACACAGAACTTTGCACAAATGTGCGGAAGTTCAAGTCGCCACACTCCGTGTAGCACGCGAAGCAAGAGAAGAAAGTACAAGAAAAGCATAATAGAAACAGTGAGCAGAGGTGTGAGACAAAGGAGTAATAAAGAAAAACAAAACAGTTTCATTGGAAATCATAAGTCACAAGGAGTGGATGCATCTGCGCCACTGAGAACGATTTTGAGCCATGTCACCAATTGTTTCCAACCATAGATTTTTACCGTCCCGAGGACCCCAGCCTGGAAGTCTACACCTTCCTACGTGGCCTAGACCAACTGTTGTGCATTTCATTGACTGGTGCCAAGTTTTTGTTTGACCGCCGCTAGCTTTTTTCCAGTCTGACCCTATATCCGCTAACATAGCTCGTCGAGGGAGGCGATGGCTTGGCATACGTAACACATGTCCTAACCATCTCAGTCTTTGTATCCTCACGACTTCGTCGATTGATTTCCCCTGTTTACCTAGAACTCTACGCCTAACCTCAATGTTGCTCACCTTATTATGCCACTTTACACGGGAAATAGAGCGCAGGCACCTATGATCAAAGACAGCTAGTCTTTTCATGTCTTCCACTCTCAGTGGCCAGGTCTCACAACCATAAAGGAGGACGGTAAATTAGTAATCATACTAATAGCGCAATCTCTAGTAAGGGTCGAAACTATAAATATCAGAACAATATTTTGGGATAAACATGTATTTATCGTTTGGTGTGAAAGTTATATGTAGTATGCCGACTCGCGTTATGACACTACCCAAGGGTGTTTCGATCAGAGTAAGCAAGAATTTTGAGCCTAGTATTTAATAACTGGAAGCCAAATGCATTATCCAGTAAACCACACCTCGAAATCCGAAAGCACTAAATAAATACGCAACTCACATACAAATTCGAAAAATATTACTGTAAAAATATAATTTTTACAGAAAAACAAAACTCACTTGAATTCTTATGATGAATCTGCAAGTCAACATCAAGCATAATACTATAGCATTGGATGCTTCTTTTAACCCATCTCCTGCACGCCAAATGCCAAACAAGTGAAGTAACATTAAAACAAGCAGTACAACATTGCTGACATCTTGTGCGATACCTGGACAAGATGCAAGTACAACACCACCGACAACTTCTGTTGTTCCATAAACTCGCCTAATTGCATGAGGACTAGGATTCCATCCAGTTAATGAACTAAACGGAAATGTTTTAAACATTCGAATGAAACTTTTCCTCTGTAAAATAAGACACTAGGTGTAATTTCTAATAATACAACTTACCACACTACGATATAACTCATCAGAAAATAATGGGCCTAGTTTCAATGTCCCAAAGAATATGAAGAATACACCTATAGCTATAGAAATAGCTGTCAGAGCTACGTTAGACATTCGGGAAGACTACGTTTGAAATGCTAGATTATAAATGATAGTAGTAGACCTAAAATGTAGAACAGGAAAAGATAAAAAGCTGGGCATATTTTTAGATCATAACGCTTTTGTATTCAGTAAAACATAAGTGAAATAAGAAAATAGGTAACACTATATGAGAAAGTGTTATATTAACGCTCTTGTTTTTAGAAAGCTATATGGAAATAAAGTGACTGAAGACCAATTGTACTTTACGCCTACCATATAAAACCGAAGATACATAGCCTTTAAGATGTCATCACGATATTTCAGTCAGCCACAGGCTCAACAACATTTGGGAAGTAAACACAAGGAAAAAGTAGTTTGCACTAGTATATCAAGAACCTCGCCTAGATTACTAGCTAGCTAGTTTTCTTGCCGGTCCCTAGCCCGGATAAAGAGGGAGGGTTGGGGCGTGGTGCTAGCAACTCCACCCGCGTAAAGCTCAACCAAATCGCTACAGAAACTTCAACGCGCAAATATATTAAAAATTCTAAAAACATAAGCAATAGCCTTATTTTTCGCTGGAATCGGGGAAATGAAACGACGCAGGCTGGTGAAAGCCTTCGGGAAGCCAGTCAGCCGATGTGCCTTCTTTCGATGAAAGCAAAAGTAAGGATGGGTACCTGGAATGTTCGTACAATGTACGAAACTGGAAAGGCTGCCCAGATAGCCGCTGAAATGAGAAGGTACAGAATAGAAGTGTTGGGAATCTGCGAAAGCAGATGGAACGGAACTGGAAGGTGCCAACTACTACCAACTGGAGAGACAATAATCTATTCCGGCCACCCAGAGGACGACCACGAGCACACCGACGGAGTGACCATCATGATGTCACCAACACCAACCAAAGCCCTCATGCAGTGGGAACCAATCTCCTCCAGGATAATGACAGCCAGGTTCAACTCAAAAGGAAGGAAAGTTACAGTTATTAAATGTTGTGCGCCTACAAACGTCTAAGAACAAGAGAAGAAGGAGGCGTTCTACAGACAACTACAAGCAATAATAGACAACGTCCCAAATGGCGATATCAAAATCCTGATGGGCGATATGAGTGTGAAGCTGGGAGGAGACAACACAGGAAGAAAACTCACCATGGGTCGAGAGGCCCTCGGTGAAATGAACGACAATGGTGAACTCTTCTCAGACTTCTGCGCCTTCAATGATTTGGTGATTGGTGGTAGTGTGTTCAAACACAAGGACATACACAAGACGACTTGGATTTCGCCAGATGGAAACACCAAAAATCAAATAGACTTCATCTCGATTTCAAGAAAGTGGAGACGGAACCTACTGAACACAAGGTCGAGGAGAGGAGCAGATGTGGGTTCAGACCACTATCTAGTACAAGCGACTTTCAAGGTGAAGCTAAATGCCTCGAGGATAGCTGGGGATAGGCCACAATGCAAGTTCACTGCTCAAAAATTGATGGACACAACCACAAAGGACACTTTCACTGCAACTGTCAGAGCAAAGCAGGAAACACTGCGCGACATTACTGAAGAATCATGCGTGGAAGAACATTGGAAGTCTCTGAAGGCGATTCTCAACGAAACGTGTTCAACGGTTCTAGGAAACAAGAAGACAAGGAATGGCTACCAACGGACACTTGGAAACTAATGGAACAGAGGAGAATGGTGAAAGTGAAAAGGATTCAATGCAAGGACGGACAAGAGGAGACGCTGAGCTCAGCTCAACGTACACAGCACTGGACAAAGAAGTGAAGAAGAGTGCTAGGAAGGACAAAAGACAATTCTACGACAACCTGGCCACTGAAGCTGAGAAGGCAGCAGGCAAATACGACCTGAGGACATTATATCAGATAACCAAATCTCTATCCGGGAAGAGATCAACACAAGCGAAACCTATAAAAGACAGCCAAGGGAATCCAATTACCAAGGAAGAAAAACAGATTAAACAATGGGCGGATCACTTCAAAGGACTCTTGAACTGACCATCACCTGCAACCCGTCCAGAAATACCAACAACAGCGCGCACACAACTGCAAGTTGACACCAGTCCTCCAACCAAAACTGAAGTCTTGAATGCAATCAAGCTTCTGAAAGCTGGAAAAGCATCTGGGCCAGATGGAATACCCTCTAAAGCACTAAAAGCGGACCCAGAGACTATAGCAAATATGCTGACTACATTATTGCAAAAGGTCTGGAAGGAGGGAAAGGTGCCTACTGACTGGAGGAAAGGTTACCTCGTGAAACTACCAAAGAAGAGCGACTTAGGCCCCACTCTGCAAGAACTGGCGAGGAATCATGCTCCTGTCGACGCCAAGCAAAACCCTGAGTCGCATCATCCTGGAGAGAATAAAGGACGCACTGGATACACAACTCCGACCAGAACAAGCTGGATTCAGGAAAGTCAGGCAAATCATGTTCCGACCAAATTGCAATTCTACGCATCATCATCACAGAACAAAGCATGGAATGGCCATCAATTAAACCTCTACCCCAACTTTATAGACTTTGAGAAGGCCTTCGACAGCGTTGACCGCTAAGTAATTTGGAAACTACTCGAGTACTACGGCGTACGGTGCCCGAATATTCATCAACCTTATTCAACAGCTGTACGACAATGGCAAATGTCAGGTGATCCACAACGGAAAACTCAGCGAAGCGTTTGGAGTAAACACAGGAGTCAGACAAGGGTGCTTGCTTATTATCACCCGCCAATGATATTCCTAATTGTGGCTGACTGACTGGATTACGCGTCAGACAGTGGAAAACGAGAAGACAGGGAGGGATATCCTGGACCGACGCGAAGAACCTAGAAGACCTGGATTTCGCGCGGCGATGATTTATGTTTGATGTCACACAAAATCGAAGACTTACAAGCGAAAACCGACAAACTGGTCGAAGAAGCAGCCGGCGAAGACAGGACTCCAAGTGAACATAGACAAGACGGAGGTCATAAAAATAACCAACCAACCAACAACAACAACAGCAGCAACATCCAGCGTCAATCACCATCAACGGGAGGGATTTGAAAGAGGTTACTTCATTCACTTCACTTATCTAGGGAGGGAGCATTGTCTCAACTACAGGAAGTCGGAACGGACGAGGATGTCAAATCGAGCGAGAATCGGGAAGGCAAGAAACAAATTCATCAACCTGAAATCAATCTGGAAATCCTCGTCACTCAGCATCAACAGCAAAATTCGGTCGGATTTTCAATACAAACGTCATGTCTGTCAGTTCTTCTATACGGATCAGAAACTTGGCGGGCGGGTCACAAAGAATATTTTCAACAGGCTATTGCAGACCTTTATCAACAACTGTCTTCGCTGGCTCTATACTAAAGATCAGATGGCCGGGCCGGAAAGAATCACCAACAAGAAACTATGGGAACAAGCAAAACAAGAACCAATCGCCCAACAAATATGCAGGAGAAAGCGGAGATGGATCGGACACTCATTGAGGAGGCCGCCATGGGTGACATCGCGCGAGCGTCGGGCCATTGCTCGAGTGGAACCAGGCCGAAAGGGATGAGGAGAGTGGGACGTCAGTCCGAGGGTGACATGGAGTAGATCGTGTGAAGATGAGTTGAAACAGTATGGACTAACATGCATGGATGCAGGTGAAAAGTACAGCAGAAGGAAGACAGAAGCAAGTGGGGACGTGCAGTTGAAGTCCTATGTTCCACTAGGAACCCAAGGGAGTAATAATTATAATACTAGTATATCAAGACTTCTAAAAATATTTGAGACGAATCTAGATTACCTTCACTGATAGTGGAAAATGTAATTAAATAATCGGTGAAATATCCAGAGAAAATGAGATTTGTGACTTATGTACAACGAAGAGCTATGTCACAATGTAACAAATTCACAGGATAACATTCACTGCAGTATGTTTTTACCAAACACATTACTATCCTGCAAAATGACCTATTTTATGCAGTCCATATGACACATAATTGCTAAAGATTTGTAGCTCAGGACGAAGATTGAAATCGGTTGATGTTCTCTGTGCTCTGAGACTTGCTGGACGAAACGTCAGCAAGTTTCTTTATGAAGTTAGTGCTCTACGACTATTTCATAATTAAGTCGTCTCAATTATCTTAACAAGTATTCTAAATCAACGAACAAGACCTAAAAATCACTGTCTTCCATGAAGAAAGAAATAGAAATATTCCCTAATTCGGCAAGAATCTGAGACTTAGCTTTTGTAGTTTCAAATTCTGCACACCTCAACTTCGATGCCAACAATGGATGCAGGCGATACACAAAGCCAGAGAATCGAGGACATTTTTTTTCAAAGATACAATATATCTGCGAGAGATGACGTATAAGTGAACTACTCATGAACAATCTAATATGCAGGCTGACAGCGTTTCCTCCATTGAAAATAATGGAAGGAATAACGACGGCAAATTATCTTATCGAGAAACCAGTGCCGGAGATGGCCAGGCACCAGATAAGATTCAGATAAAAATAAACAGCTAAACAATCACAAGTCTAAGTCAAAACATTCACCGTATTCTGGAATTTCTGTTATCTATTGAAAAGCTTTACATAACAGTAGTTTGTCATACTCATTACTTAACTCGAGAAGAGAAAGACTTGTACAGATAGGATTTCGGTGGATTCAAAAGTACCCTAATGACACCCGAATTGGACAAAAGTGCTTAAAAAGAGGTGAATAATGCCAAATAATGGGCATAGCCTACAGTGAGAAAATGGGTTCATTCTAATTAAACGACACGATTTTAACCACTTTGAGCACTAACCGACCAGGATTTCACTAACGTGACCATTATTGAGCCATTCTTGACAAAGTTCAGCAACAGCGTCTCAAGGATGAGGACGCACGAGTGACTTTGAGTCGACCAATCATAAAAATGAGGAACTTTTCAACGAAAATTGACGTATATTTACAAGAAAATCCATGAAAACACATTTAGGTTATCTTTCTCTGACACCACTTAAAAATACGTCCCAGTTACTATGAGGAGTATCAGTTGCTAGGTTA